AAAAAACAAACACACACACACACACACACACACACACACACACACACACACACACACACACACACACACACATACATACAGAAATAGTGACACCCTTGCGGGAATAGTCAGGGAAGCTTCCTAGGACCCCAAAACGTCGAGATCTGATGAAAACTCGATTTTCGACAAACGGGGTAAAACCAATAACTTCCCGATTTTTGAAAATTTTCAATTTTCTTAGCGGGAAGTTAAAAATTTTTTTTTATATGTAATCGACGTAACTGCTATTTCAAACAATTATACTGCAAAAAATTTTAAGTTTAGAAAAATTTTTTTATAAGAACGGAAAAAGTTAAACTTGCAAAAAATTTTTATAGTACGGAAAAAAATTCAATATTTACAAAATTTTCAATTTCTCACGGAGAAAGTTGAAAATTTTCAAACATTGGGAAGTCATTGCTTTCACAGTTTCTCGAAAATTGAGTTTTCATCAGATCTCGTCCTAGGAAGCTTCCCCGACCATTTTTATGATGGCGTGTGTGTGTGTGTGTGTGTGTGTGTGTGTGTGTGTGTGTGTGTGTGTGTGTGTGTGTGTGTGTGTGTGTGTGTGTGTGTGTGTGTGTGTAAATCTCTTATATAACTTATATAACTTTTGAACGGCTCAACAAATCGGATCGAGGTAGGTGGTGATAAAGAGTATCAAAATTTTCAAAAAATGATTCTTTTGGAATAACTTCAACTCCAAAAACTTGTCAACTCTTAATCGTAAAAAAATGACATTGATGACCGCAAATTCAGTAAAAATCGGTTAATTCGTTCGTAAGATATCGTTGTCGAAAAAAATTGAAAATAATGTTTATTTCAGAATTTCTATAAAATTTTTAGTCTTACCAGTTCTCGCTCTAAAACTTCTAAAATAACTCAAAAAACTGCGTTGAATGCCGTAAACCGCGAAAAAATCGGTTAATTTATTCAAAAGATATAGCAGTTTGAAAACTCAAAAAATAGTTTTCTATGGAATTTCTATCACATTTTTGAGCTCGAAGAGTTCAAAAACATAGAACAGATATCTCTTTGAGCTCAAAATAACACAAAAATTATATGTTTGAGCTCGAGAGCTCAAAAATAAAATTAGTGAAATATTGAGCACTTAGATATGGTGTTAGCGGGAAGTTGCAGGGATCGCAGGGATGAGACCGCTACACGTGCTGGTAAGCAAGTGAAGAATTCGTTCGTAAATTAACTTCACTCAGAGAAAAAAAATCATCACTGCAAATTATTTAGAAAAAGGATGTTGTATGAGCACAGCGTGGTCTTACAATTGTACCATTGTAACACCGATAAAACTGAAGCTTAAATAACTAAGTAAGAAGTTATTTGTAAGACTAAATATTTAAAAACTAAGACTCGATAGGCAGAGTTAAAATTCTGATCAAAAAGCCCTAAGACTTTGCTAAATTCTTAGAAGCGCAAATTTGTTGCATATATGTATGCAAGAAAATTTTTTACTCTTGATTATAAAACTCACAATTGAGGTTACTCTATAAATTTTCATCATTTAGACTATTTTGATTTGCGCATAATACTTACTTTAACATGTAACATAAAAGCATTTTGCATTTCTTTTCCAGATGGTTTGAAAGATTTCGACTCCTTTTTTTGTTTTATTGTTTGATCTGGTGAAAACAATTTTATTAGATTCATAAGCACAATTGTCGACTTTTCATCTGAAAATCAATTAATTAATTAGTAATTAAATTTTAAATTAACTGGGCAGTTCATATAGTTGAAATATTTGAAGAAAAAATCATTTGGCAGTTAAAATGGAAGTATAGATTTTTAAAGCTGCTTAAAAACCTACAAAATTATGTAAGCAAAAATAATATTAAAGTAAAATTATTCGTAAAGAAACTGAATTTCTAGTTTAAAATCAGATGATATCTACTTTACAAAGTTCTAAAACACTTTAGCGTAATAAAAATTAATTATTCAAAAAAATGGTGTAATCAACTTCACAGTATTTTTGTAATTTGATCGTTATATGTCACAATATATATTCAACCGTTAAAAGAAATACGTAGCATATGAGTTAATATTTCAGCAATAACCGTCAATCAAAAATTCAACATTAAGAATTCGTAATAATAATATAAATAGTAAATAATTTAGCAACACTCACCATCGGTGTATTCTTCTGGATCGTCATCGGGTCTTCTTAATTTTGAAACCAAAAAACTTCTCAATTTTGGCCATCTTTCCAAAGCCTTTTCATGTTTTCCAGGGTATAAAAAGTCAAAGTCTTGATCTAACTAAAAAAATTTATAAAATCCGTGGAATAATCGTTTTCATATACGTAAGTCTGATTTCATTATTTATAAAATCTATAATACTGCTGAAAACAAATTTCATTTACTGAAATAATACTAATAACTTTTATACATTAACTTCAACTTGAATGATTTGTGTACATTCATGGAATAACAAATTTACTCATAAAGAAATTTATTTTATAAAAATGGAAATTATTTGAAAAAATTTCAGTTGGACTTAAATAGTTGTTATCCGAAGCATTGATATGAATGAATCAATATTATTAATTTTATTGCTTCATTAAAGACTATAGAATTTCTTGTAATGATTTGATAGAACTAAATGAAATTTGAATTCAGTGGTTCTAAATAGATCTGAGAAATAATCAAATATGAATAACGTATATGAAAACGATTTTTCCACGGATATGTTAAATAACTAAAATAGATACGTATAAATACTAAGAAAACAACTTTTTAACAATTAAAGGTTTCGTCATTTTCAATCTTAAAATAATTGATTGCATCAATTCTGATACTTTGTAAATTACGCGGAGAATAAAATTTAGCTACTGGGACTCTATAGTAGATAGTTAGTTGTAAAAAGTTCCAGTAGGTTAACGCATTCTTATGGCAACAATACCGGTTGGGTTCTATAACTCTATGTCGTTGAGCTCTGAGAGCCAAACATTAATTTTACCTCTCAGAACTCTACAGAATTGTTCTGAGACTATAAAAAATTTTAACAAATCTATAACGATTAAATATTAATAATTTAATAAATAAATGCAGCAGAACAAATTTATATTGCCAATTATAATTGTATATGACAAATAAGAATAGTATTATAATAAAAATAAAATAATAATAGAACTTATATTACAAATGAAAATTATCACAATCACAATATATATCACAATATATTAAACTAAGATATTAAATTAACAGTCACTGTAAATTAACCTTAAAAAAACATAAATACAAAACCGTTCTAATGAAATTCAATTTGACAAAGAAAATACCTATTTCCTTAAATGAATAAACTGGAGACAATAATTGTCCTCATATATTTTTAATAACTATACCGTTTGTCTCTCAGAACAATCCCGTTGAGCTCTGAGAGCTCAACAACATTTAGTTATCAGAACTAAATAAAATTTTGTTACTGTAACTCTACAACAAACAGTAAACTGTGTACAGTATGAAAAACCCAAAAATGTACGCCTCATAACACATATTTCGTATCGAATGCAAAATAAATCCTATTGCTCGATTTTTTAACAAAAGATACCAAAACAATGATTGCTGGTAAATCATAATTACATAAAAATTAAGATAGTAAATGTGCCTGTACATATAAAAGAAAAATATCACGTAAATCTTCAATATTAATCTAAACACCCGGATAAAAAAATTTATATATAGTTATATATACTTATATGTTATTATATAATTATATATTACTTATTAGGGTGTGCCAAAATGTAACTCCCGTGGAGAACCTTTTGAAATTGGAATTTTGAGTTCCGCTTCTAACAGGGACTGCGTTTGGGCATTTCCTGATATATTTTGGTATGAGACAATGTATTTGATTTTCATAGAATTTTTTAACAGAAGCTTAGTTTGGGCATTTCCGGTAAAAATTCAAAATTTGGCCGGAAGTGCCCAATTAAATCTCCTGTTTAAAATCCTATAAATAATCAAATGAATCCTCTCACCCCGAAATATCTCAGGAAATGCCCCAACACAGCTGCTGTTAGAAGTGGAACTCAAAATTCTAATTTTAAAAGGTTCTCCACGGAAGTTACATTTTGGCACACCCTATTACTTATATATGGGTGATTCTCTGTAAGGATGTTTTTTGCTGTTCCGGGCATTTTTTTATTAGAAAAATTGTTATTTTTTAACTAAAAAAAAATTATTACGAAAGTAAAAAAACATTTCTATTTGGAGCGTTAAAAATTAAAATGAAATAAATTTTGGTTTTTTTGCTATAAATTCGTAAACCACCGAAATGTCAGTCCCCTGGGCTGTCCCAGTCCCAAAATTAAAACTTTAAGATTAAATTTTAAGTTATTCGTAAATAATATATAATTTGGTCCATAATGTTTAAAAACTTAATTAGTTAACTAACAATCTTCTTCAATAAAAAGTACCGAAAGTTAATTTGATTCATTAAATTCATTAAACCAAAGTTTGTCCCAGGCATTTGAGATCAGTCCCCTGCCAGAAGTTCAAAGACAAAAAAAAAAGTCTAGCTTGTTATTTTACCTTTTGTAAGGTTTAAAAGGATCTAATAGCCTTAAGTTAATAACCATAGGGCTGTTAGCGCTTTATCGGCATTTTATTTAGTGTTAAAGCACCGTTGTGCTGGAAATATGTGTCTGGGCCACTTCAAAACTCAGTCCCCTGGCAGCTATTTTTGTTTATAATTTATTTATAAAATTGGATCCATAAGTCTTAATGTTATTCTAATTAATGTAAACATTCATTGAGAACTTAAAAAGTTGAATGCATTGAAATAGTTTGCTTCATTTTTCTCAATTTGATAAAAAAAATCAGTCCCCTGTCATGTTACGCATGCAAAAGATACACAAATATTGAAAAATCAAAAATTAATTCGGCTGTTTATTTATTATAATTAAGCTAACAGTTTTGTAGCTCTTGTTAATTTTTCTTCTAATAAAATCAGAAATAATTTGGCCGGACAATTTTGTACAGATTTAAGACGTCCTTACAGAGAGTCACCCATATAATTATATATTACTTACATATAATTATATGTGATTATATGTAATTGTATATAATGATATACAATTACATATAATTATATATAATTGCATATAATCATATATGATTATATATAATAATATAATTAGATATAATCATATATAATTTTATACAATTCTATAGAATTGTACAAAAATTACAACTATTATTATTATATACAATTATATGAAATTATATATGATTATATGAAATTATATATAATGATATGTAAACTGATAAAATGATTTATTAACTATTAAAAATTTAATTTGTTTGAAGACAATTATTTAATTTATTAAATTTTAATAAATATTTTTTAACATTTAATAAATTATTATTTGGAAGGAAAGCACATTTATTAATAGTTAATAAATATTTCGTTGAGTGAATTTGTTCCACTTGTAATGTCATATGACATGAAGATTGCTTATAAACAAAAATCATCTTTATAAATTATTTACATTAATTATATTATATTATAAGCAATAACGTTTATTGTAATATACCGAATTCTATCACACCTCATAAATCATCTTTTATATTTTTAAATATTAAAAACGTTAATGTATTTAGTGATTTGAATTATTATCATGTATTCCAGCTATCGAGTTATAAAAAATGTTAAGAGAAAACTGCTATTTTTACTTTCAATTTTAAATAAATATTTGTTAACTGTGTAACGTGGTAAATTTTTTATTCGACGCCCAATACTTGGGGTATTATAATATTCCAGGCTCGAATCCAACGTCGTGAATGTTATGTGTGAATGAATGAAAATTATACTAATTTTTATTAATTTATTTTGTGTAAAATGCGTAACGCTGGACGAGTAACGAAGACAGAGCGAGTCACAGTGGGTACGAGGCTATGCATTGGAGCGACAAGAATGGAGCTACGACGTAAACAAGCTAGTATCGAAGAGTACCGAAGTGACGAGGCACCGAGCGGCGTAAACACCCGAGAGGCCTGGATACCGATCGACGCTGCAGTGCCGCTATTTTCCAATACGACGATCAACATCGATGACAGTTGGTTAGTCAGTACTGCAGGAGCAGAGGTGACTAAAAACTGTCGTGAAGGTCCGTTGACTGTTATACGGACCTAGATCAACTATCGACGGGGATCAATTCCAATGGAAATGAAGACTAGCGCCGCCAACTTCAACGAAGGAAGAAGTGGGTACTTCTCCATGAAGAAGACGATTCGAGGCTGGACTGTCGACGTACACGGACGCGCTTTTGCGCGCTCCGCAACCTAAAATTAATTTCGAAGTTATGTCGCGAGTTTGCTTATTTCAAATTAATTTGTAACTTGTTGTAAAGTATTTATTTTTAAAATTTTTTTATTGATTTGAGTCGACCGCACGAAGCTTTCCAAGCTGCTAAGATGAGGACGACGCTCAATTTCTTGGTAAGCCGACGTTCTTGTTCAGTGTTGAATCCAGCGTTTAGAGTCCACGTTGTAATTTTGTAAAATATTTTGAGTAACAAAATAATACGCGAGGATTCGACGCTTTACGATTATTTTTTTTTTGTAATGCTGTTATTACATGGAGTGATTGCTGAGGTATGAATGTGAGAGTAAGAATTGAATGAGATAACGACGTTTATTAATTTTAATTTTGTTAAAATTGAGTGCAAATTTAAGTTACGACGTTTAATAATTTTTGTTAAAAATTAATATCGACCGCCGACATATATTTTGTTGAATAAATTGTTATTTTTTTTAATTTTCCTGAATTCATTTCAAGTAATTTTAAGAATTTCGTTTGTTTTGCTGTCCTATTTTTTTTAACGACGAGTATTTCAGCATGGCCCGCCGACCTGAAGAAGAGGTAATAGCTAGCCGAAGTCGAAGCAGTAATTAGTTGGAGATCATTCTCGTGGCGCCCTTTTATTAATGATAATGTTTTTTAGTAAGCCAAATTTTAATATAAACGATGAGCCTGGCTTAGTAAATCCCCGGGTCAGGCGAAATCCCGTTATAACTGTTATCAAATATTTATTAACATTTAATAAATCGTATTTAATAAATAATTAATTAACTGGTGATAAATATTAATTAAATCCCATGATGTTAAAAAATCACTTATTAACCGTTAATAAAGCTCATTGAATATAAACAAATCCTTCTATCAGTGTAACTATGCGGAAATCATATATAATTATATATGAATCATATACAATTGTATAGAATTTTTTTTATCTCCGAGTCTGCTACTCCAATGATTAATAATCTATTAATCTATAGTATTTTTTGTGGATGAAATAATAGCAACTGTATCAATTAAGTTAACTATAAAAATTGATTATGTATACGATTTGCATTACTTGTAGTTATTTAAAACTCTGCTCTACAAGTAAGTCTCATATGTTAACGGGCAGCTCGTCATTCTTTCAAGCGTCAAGTCCCCCGTTTGATCCCTGCGCACGCCGAATTTTTTTTTTATTTTTATAGAAATAATTATATAAAGTTCTATATGATTATATCTAATTCTATATAATTATATAGGGCCATTTTTCATGTATAAATTATGTATAATTATATATAATCTTTTTTATCCGGGCAACTGAATTTGAACGTATAACTCCATAACCTACAACATCTTCATGATATCCAAGAACTATTAAATGATTACAAATTAAATATACATTATTTACATTATCATTTACGGTAACAATGGCACCTACACTACCGGCAGAAAGTTTCCGGACAAGATGAAAATTCATTTACACGATTTATTAAAAATTTATCAAAACTTTGTAAACTAAAATAGCATTTTTTTTATAGATCAAGTTAATTTGTTTATGTATCATATTTAAATCAAAAAGTAAACAAGAAGTTTGTCCAGAAAATTTCCGTCGGTACTGTATTTCCGCAAAAACCGTTATCAAATTTTCATATCTCACTTATACTACCATTTTTCGAATATACTTAATGTTTTTCAATTCGACCCATTTAGTGACTGATATATTTCTATCTCGTAAAACATTAGATAAAATACAGTAATCGAAATGATTTAGTTCTAAGGCAATTATAGGACCGAATATGGTAGTCGGCATTAATGTTGGGAATAATTATGATAAGAGAAGGATACTATAATGGGATGGTATTAGTAATAAGTAATATTATAAAGTTAGTTATGAGTAATACACTCAGGAGAGTAGACGTGCCTTGTACGATTAAAGATAAAGCGCTTTATTATATATATTATCCTGTCCATAAACTCAATAATTATAGATTGTTATAAAATTCATCATTAATTGATGTTTCTTTGCAAGCGACAATGGTATGTTAATTCTACATCTATTTACCGAAGCCGATCTTGTTAAGTGAGTATGTTTTGACTTAGAATGGATAGAAGATACATGAGAGATTGGACCACCTGCTCATATACTTCTGGATAATGAAACAAAAAATGATGTTTTGGTTTTAAATTCTAACCAGTTAGTTCAATGTATAATAGATGGTGACGACGAATTACTGATTCAAAACCTAAAATTTGTTCTTTTGTTACTTTCTTCGCTAAAATGAAATCAAATATTTCCCGCAGTAAAACGTAAATTCCAATAAGGATTACTTTTATCAACTAAATCTCTCATGAGAATAGGGTAAATGACCTCATTAATGGAGGGTGGGGGGGGGGCATTACTGAGACTTTGATTTTGGTACTTATTCAATTAACAAAATTATTAATTTCAATAATGAATATATTATTTCTAATCTTTAAGACCTTTAGATCAAAAAAATTTTCAATTTTTATTCCAAGAAATTGACAAATAATTTTACAAATGTGGTTAATTCTGACGCAGTCATTTGTAATTTTAACTCATTTTCAATATCTTCTTCTCTGATCAAAGAATATTTGAGCAATCAATTGGTCCATAGTCAAACACTGTTAATCAATCATCTAATTCAGATAAAGCGAATGAATAAAAATCAATGTTTTCTAAAGTTAAGGGGACCCGGCGGTCTAGCGGCCTAAAATTTACGGTATTTCAAAAATTTTATTATTATATGAAAGTAATGAATAATGCGTTCAAATTTTTTGAACACTTATTCTATTTCTTATAAACTACGCAAAAATAAAGATTGAAACATAAAAAATATTTTTTTTTAATTAGAAAAATGGCGCTGAAGTTCCCCTCCTCAAAAAAATGGATCTAACTGGTGGGTATCAACTGATATTTCCCTCTGATCTGAAATAAAAAAAATGACGGATTTTCAATTTGTATAAGTATTGATACCGTCGGAAGTAGAATGGAAAAAAAAATATTTGACAAAATGATCCGTACTTTTAACTACACGCTATTTGTTCAAATATTTTTTTTTCCATTCTAGTTCCGACGATAACGATACTTATACTTATTAAAAATCCGTCAATTTTTTTATATCAAATTAGAGGGAAAGATCTGTTGACACCCACTAGTCAGATCTTTTTTTTTTTTTCAGGAGAACTTCAGCGCCAATATTCTAATTAAAATAAAATATTTTTTATGTTTTAATCTTTATTTTTGTGTAGGGTAGAAGTACCGTTTTTGGTCAGTTAACATTTGAATTAATTTATAAAAAATTATAATATTATAACCATATTTTTGTTGAGTTTTAAAAAATTTACATTAAAAGAAATTGAGTTTGTAATGGTTTATTAATATAAATTCATTTCTATCGTTTATTTGAACAATAAATGGCCATAAACAGTACAGTGGCCACAAACAGTACTTCTACCCTAGTTGATAAGTAATATAATAGGTGTACAAAAAAATTTCAAGTATTCCTCATTAGGTCATTACCTTCATACAGAAACAAAATTTTAAAAAATAATTTAAATTTTAGGCCGCTAGACCACCGGATCCCTTTAATTTTCGGAGATTCGTAATTAAATCATCATGAGCAATACCTTCTCGTACATCATGCATTCCATCAACAGAATAGTTTTTAGTGCAATGAAATGATTCTATTTTATTAAACACACATTTTTCTTTCATATCTGTACACGGAAAGAAAATTGTACGAAAAATTACGATGAAAACATCGTAATTTTTAGTATAGGACATTGTAGTGCTGGACCAGAACTCAAACATCATAATTTATACGATGCAACGTCGTAAATTTCTATTACTCAAATTAAAAAGAAGTTTACGTCGGCGAAAACATTATTCTGTTTTCCAATAATTCAAATTGTATTCTGTAAACGGCAACATCGTAAAAATCAAGATACTGAAAATCTAGTCTTGGATTACGATGTTACTATTATAATTTTTCATAAAATTTTTCTTCCATGTACTTGAAATATTGTTTGCTATACTATCTAACTCATAGTTTACATTATTTTGCTTCAATTCACAAGGAATAATAAGTGCATTTTTACAATCATTCTTTTTTGCCCTGCGGGCGGAAAGTGACAACTTTAATTCCCCTGCGCTAAACAAAGTTGCCGTGTTCCGCCTTCGTCGGACAAAAAAGTAGTATACAGCCCTTAAAAAGTAAAAAAGAAAACCTCAGATCACATGTTCGTTGACCTCGGCTTCACCTCGACCAACAATTATATGTGATCTGAGGCTTTTCTTATTTTCTTTCTCAAGGGGTGCAATATACTATTTCATCTTACAGATCCTACAATAGTGTGTAGCTACAAACGATTCTGTGAATCCTAACAATCCATGCCACCCTAAATTGTCTCCCTGTATTAGATCCAGAACGAAATAAACTTTTTCACCAGTAGATAAACTAGTTTCATAGCTGTTTTTTTTCCAAACGTTTAATTCGTTGTATAAGCGGACGGTAAATATCATAAGTGCGATTTCTAACTTCTCGCTAAGAAAATCGAAAAATTTTCAAAAATCGGGAAGGTATTGGTTTTACCCCGTTTATCAAAAATCGAGTTTTCAACGGATATTGACGTTTTGAGGTCCTAGGAAACCTCCGAATGTCTTTGCGATGATGTCCGTACGTACGTACGTCTGTGTGTGTGTGTGTGTGTGTGTGTGTGTGTGTGTGTGTGTGTGTGTGTGTGTGTGTGTGTGTGTATACGGCCGTATGTCAACCTCATAAATTTTGAACGGCTTGACCAATTTCATCGCGGTTGGTATCGTTCGAAATTATCTGTTCGATCAATTTGAACTCACAAGTTCTTCATAAGACTTTAAAAACTGCGTCGAATGCCACCAACCACGTAAAAATCGGTTAGTTCATTCAAAAGTTATTGCGGTTTAAAACTTCGAAAAATGGTGTTTTATTCAATTTCTAGCAAATTTTTGAGCTCGAAGAGCTCAAATTAACTAAAAATTGTATTTTTGAGCTCGAAAAGCTCAAAAACGTCATTAGTGCAATTTGAAGCGCTTAAGTATACTTCCATATATGGAATTAGCGGGAAGTTGCAGGGATGGCCTTTAGCGTCAACCGTTTTTCTAATTTTTTTTTATTATTATCACATATCCATGAATCGTAAATAAGAACGAGTAAAATGTTTGTCAGTTGAGACCTACACTCAGGCGGTAAGCATGGAAATGACGCGTAAATAGGCATAACTTTGCTTGAATGAGAACTTAGAGGGTTATTGACTTCTACATCATCACCGGCAAAAAAATAAGGGATGACAATATCATTATCAGAATATTTAGAACGTTTTTCAGCCCATAATTTACCTTGAATGAAATTTTCTATAACCGTTGTATCGCTCTTTAAACTTGACATATAACTTTAAACTATATCTAATGTATTGTTTGTTTCAAAAGTAGTAATTTATGTCCTATGGCCGCAAAGTGGCGATTTTCTGACAACGACGATATTGCGATATGAGCTTAAGGTTCGTGGCGGGAATGTGCGAAAACGAGCGTAATTTTAACATCCGAAGCGAAGTCCAGCAAAGCGAATATCGTAAAATCATCGTTGTCAATATCACTACTAAGTGGCCAAATGACATACAATATTTTTTGTTATTATCGCTCCGTAAGTTTAACTTTTAAGGGATAGGAGGCAAATAATGACATTAAAATTTTATGAAGTTTCATAAGGGCAATGGAACTTAATTTCTTATAATTATCTTTTTCTCAATATTTATTTATGACGTGAGTTATTTTATTAACATTAGGTCCGCTTCGTAATAAACTGCCAACAGAGAAATAAGCAGTGCCACTCAATAGTAACTAAGTTTAAAATTTATTCAAAATCATCGGTCGGTACATTAGAATTTGATTGATTTCGTTCTAAATTTTATTCGATTACACAAGGGCAGTACGGAAAAACGGGGGAAGTAAACTTTGCGGCCTAGGCCGCGGAAAAAAGGCGGTATGATAGTCTCTGAATGAGTATCTTTTCGGTTGCCAGCCAGCGCTCAAAAGTTGAACTTTTGGAGCGAGTATAACAAATAGTATATAACGACTCTAAGCCAGAAAGGTGGGATTTCCTGGCGTATGGGATATGATGGCTCGGCTATCATATCACATACGTCAGGGCATTGAACGTTCTGGTCGTGGGTTGTATAGTATTTTTCTTGCCCTCCAGCCGAAAGTACACAGCCTCTTAGAAAGGATTTTGCAAAACCAAAGCGGAGCCGAGGTTTTGCCGGGCGCGAGGGGGGCACCGCCCGACTTTTGTAAAGCCGAGGCTTTGCTGGTCGGGGCGGGCATAAAAAAAAAGTAAAAATTAATAAAATAAAAAAAAACAAATTATTTAAAGTTTACTAACTGCTCTAATTAAGAGTGATAACATGAACGGAACTTGTCAAAAATATTTGAACTCGTTCTGTTAACGATATTTATTGTTTTAAATTGATTAACAATTAGTTTTTAATTAGTAATAGACGGCTAAAAAAGATTGAAATTAAATTATCAGAAGCTACGTGACATGTACCTGTTGTTTTACAAACATTGCTTGACTAGCTGTAAAAAAGAAAATAAAATCCACAAAACTTATATATTTCGTTTTGTAAACTTTTTATGTAAATCATTTGTGTAGTATTATTATTAAATAGTTCATTAACAATAATCTAGTTGTAAATAATTTTTATTCCCTTGACATTTTTTGGTTAGTTTATGCGCTGACATAGTACCTACAGACGATGTTGTGACTGTTAGACAGTTGAAAGTCGCGCCACGAAAATAAGAAAAAATGCGAGGTTCTGTGCTGCCCGGCCAGAAATTATGTGTAGCGCGCATGCGCCAGAACAAGCCATAAAAGTTGCTCTTTCTGAAGTAAAATGCGTCCCGAAAGAGCGTATCTTTGGCTAGGAGAGCAAGAAAAATTATTTGAAATGAAAGAGTAAGTGGAATATATTGAGCACTTATGTCAACATATTTACCGATAGTTCCATTTTTGTTTTTTGTTATCACAAATGTTCGGTCGATTACATACGAAACTGATTGTATATATTTGTTATTAGTACTAAAAAATTCTAAGCGTCAATGTTCTGTATTCAAGTGAGCAAACGAATTTTGTAAATAATTAAACATGCTTTTGATTTTGTTGTGATCATCGGACGGACAGTTCAATTTTGAAAGAATAATGTCAACTGATGACTCTAATAGTCGTAAGAATTTATCACCTATAAAAATATGCGTATCTTCCACAATCGTTTGAACAATATTACGTGGCAAGCGTGGGTTAGCATATAATTTTGCAACAAATCTTTAGGCTGCTCTATCTAGTTCACACTTAAAATTTACCGTATTTATATCACCAGATTCAAAATTTTCGCATGTTTCATTGCAACTTATGTTATTTGTCCCGGTTTCTAATTCATTTTCAATTCTATTAGACAAAATAGTCTCATTTCGAGTAAGTGTAGAATGATGTATATTATTAATCGATGGAGGCTGTGATGGAAATTTATGGGCAACTCGCAAATGCTTGTGATAAGAATTAAGAATATCAAACCTTGAATTACAGCCTCTTTCACCACAGTCATACTTATTTAACTCATCACTGTGATTCACAGATATGTGAGTTATTAAAGCTTTAATTGAAGTTAAATCTAACGAACAAGTACTACACCTCGGCATTGTTAAGTATTCCTTAGATAATAAACAAAATTATTGAAATAAATATTCACGTTATTTCTAATAATGTTAAAGTAACAATTACATCAATGATAATTTTTTTAAATAATTAAATCAGTCAATCATATAAGTTATACAATCGTTACAATTTTAAATTAATTGTTAATAGTATATTCAAAATTTCATCAAGCAATACTATTACCCCGAGTAGCTTGATCAACGGAAGTACTAATTATGTATTAGTATAATTCAAACAATACGGTTGTTAAATTTTGTATCTTTGAAATTGTTTCAGAAGATTCTCAACATTGTTGTAACTTTGTTCTTTTTTCGGATTGAAGGGTAAATCCCACAATGCTCGATGAATAAATTGCCAAACTTGCATAATTTCAGGAGGGTACACAGCATGAAGAGCCGTGATGCATTTAAATACGCTTATGAAAGCGTCAAACGGCGACGATACAGAATATTTATAATCCTTGAACACGTATACAAATGACTGAGATACATCGTAGATTGTTGGAAAATTTACCGTATTTATATCACAAGATTTAGAATTTTCGCATGTTTTATTGCAACTTATGTTATTTTCCCGGTTTCTGATTCATTTTCAATTCTGTTAGTCAAAAGTCTCATTTCGAGCAAGTGTAGAATGGTGTATATTATTAGTCGATGGAGGCTGTGATGGAAATTGATGGGCAACTCGCAAATGCTTGTGATAAGATTTTATAGTATCAAACTTTAAATTACATACGGAAAAAACGAGATTGGACTGGCTTCCATCTCAGATGGTACTTAGACCCATCTACCGAACAAAAAATTTTAGATGGGAACTACCACTATTCAGATTGTAGTGAGTACGATCTACTTGGGACTAACTCTTATCTCGGATAGGACTTAGTCACATGCGGATAGCATTCACTACAATCTGGATGATAATAGTTCCCATCCACAAGTTTTTTTTTTTATGAGATTGGACTTAGTCTTATCAGAGATGGAAACCAGTTTAATCTTCTTTTTTCCTCATTATGTTTCATAAATATGTAAGTTATTAAGGAGATCCTAGTAACCTCATATGTGTAAAACCTCATATGAATAACTATGAAAAAATAATTCATATAAATACTTTTGTTATGCATCTTTAAATGAATTTTTAAATTAACTAATAATATCTTTAAGGAAATTTCCGAAAAATTTACTCATAAAATAATTATTAACATTCAATTGACTAGTAAAAAATATAGCACTCTGAATTAGCGGTATATACTTGACAACACCGCGAGAATTCCCTAACCTTAAAATTTACTTATGTTTACTATCTGACTAAAATGACTCAGATCTTCTAGCATTTAAAAAACCGCGATCACTTATGAGCTAGTTACTGCGCAAATGGTGTTGCCAAGTCAAATACAAGACTTTAAGGAAAGGAAGTTCCTTGTGTTTTTTCATAACAAATGTAAAATATCTCCGTAATACGTTCGGAAACCTACTTTTTTGATTTCTTTAATCGAAAGCATATTATATCTTCAATCAAATTAAATAAAAATAAATTTTTTTTAAATTGTTAATTGCATTAAATTATTAACCAAAAACACGGCTGGTAGAATCTCGATTTACCTGCATGTAAAAATTAAAATTTTCTGTGACGGGTGGGCCTACCCTCCCGTCAACATTATGATAAATCATATGTATATTCTATAAATCGATGGGGCCAACTTGCCCACCTGAATTAGACACCGAATTTCCGTTGTCCTTCGAGACTGACTCTGGTTACCGAGAGTCGCTACTTGCACGTGGTGCTGATGAGACACTTTCTCATGGGAACCGAGCGAACGGGTACTCTCATACAGGGAACCGCTTTCGGCGCATTAATACCTTTTTCTGCTGATGTGCTGATGTTTCGCTTTCTCATGGGAACCGAGCGAACGGGTACTCTCATACAGGGAACTGCTTTCGGCGCATTAATACCTTTTTCTGCTGATTAAGGAACTTGACGATAACCACTTAGTTCCCGAAGGCGGAATAATCTGTGTTCAATTGCGGAACAATACAAGTTCCGCGCAGGGATACAGGTGTTGACGGCATCCGCGACGGAGGTGTAAAAAAAAACCCTAGAGGTGTCGGGACGGGCAGCCACTAGTAGTCAGTCAGTCGTTTAGTCTGTCCGAATCTATGTCGAGTCTGAGCTAATGAGCATCGAAATTAATAATCCTCTAAGACTCTCATTCTCGTTGCTGTCCCATCTCTCTCTCTCTGTCATAGAATTATTAGTATTGCATTTATCGAGTAATATTGTATCAAGTTAGAATCGTTTTTGTAGAGAATTAGATTGTAAAAGGGACTCTCAGGGCAATTTCGGGTAGCTCCCATGCTTTGGGGACGCCCAATAAACAATTAGTACCGTAATTCACGTGTATTCTTCATTCACTGAGCGACCCACACCCTCTTCAACATTTAAGTATTTTTCAGTGAGACGCTGAGCTAGTCCGGAGGTCTGTTTATGTGACAGGTAAATGACCAGGTGTAGGCTCACACGTAACATTTTCAAAGCTAATTATTTCATGAAATATTCCGAAAACCTTATTTTTTTTATTTTTTTTTCATTAATTATTAGGCTACGTAGATTGAATTTACAACAATTCAGGAAGTTTTAAAAATTTGACTATTTCGCGTGGATCTCCTCAAAGCTTTAATTCACGTCTTATCTAACGAACAAGTACTACACCTCGGCATTGGTGAATATTCCTTAGATATAACACAAAATTATTGAAATAAATATCCACGTTATTTCTAACAATGTTAAAGTATCAATTACATCAATGATAGTTTTTTTAAATAATTAAATCAGTCAATCATATAAGTTATACAATTGTTACAATTTCAAATTAATTGTTAATATTATATTCACAATTTTATCAAGCAATACTAATATCCAGAGTAATTTGATCAACGGAAATACTAATTATGTATTAGTATAATTTAAACAATAGTGTTGTTAAATTTTGTATCTCTGAAATTATTTCAGAAGAGTCTCAAGATTGTTGTAAATAAAAATTGATTTTATAATATATTAGGTAGTAGCAGAGCAGACCAAAACATCTCATAGGAAATGTAACAAATTTTGTATTTCAGAATAATTTAAACATAATTATAAATATCTTTTTACATTTTTTTCAAAGAAAAATTTTTATATATGTTAATTATATGTAAGCATATATAATTATATATACTTATATATAGGACTATATATAATCTTGCATAGCTGTATATTGCTCCATATATAGTCATATATCATATCATTATATATGATTATATATGATCTTATATACAATTCATATATAATCATGTATGATTATATATAATTATATATACTTATATATAATTGTATATGGAACTATATATAATCATGTATGATTATATATAATTATATATGTGATTCCATATATAATCATATATGATTATATACAATTATATATGATTATATAGGAACCTTTTTTTCTCGGGTATTTAATACAAAATTTATACAGCCAATCGAAATGGTCATCACAAAAACTTCGTTTGCGCTCTTTTTAGCATGGCAAACTTACTGACTCTATTGATAACTCAATTTTTGACATATCAACCGTGAAAGTTGGATTTTCAAGCAACACACAGTGGGCGCAAAGAATACGATTTCTGACACCCTATAGTTTAGTTAATTTTCCTCGTACTAGTATCGAAAAGTAACTTCTCTCTCCCTCTATCTGTCTCTACATTTCTGCACGGCTGCTAAAATACGCTATAGATGAGTCGAATTATTTTTTAATTCGACAAACGTCCGCTGAGTGGAGTAAAAGTCGCAAAAAAAATCTTAGCGACAGTCGAATCTTGTAAACGACTTCAACATACATATACGCAGATTTAATCCGTCGCTATTTCTTCTTGTGTGACAGGCTTTGTGTTTAAATTATAAAGTGATTAATAAAAATGAGTGAACTATTCACAAAAACATTAACTCCACCTAATTTAACTGCTGTGGCAGCTAATGTTTCAAAAAAAATACTGCCAGCAATGTCAAGAAAAAAATATCTACAAAAATATAAAATAAACAATGATATAACAAGAAAAAAACAAGAAAAAAATATCTACAAAAATATAAAATAAACAATGATATAACATATTTCACGGTTCTTTCAAATCCAACTTTAACAATTGATATGGCAAAAAATTATGTTCGATACTTAATGCTCAAAGGTTGGGATCCTGACAAACTTGAAGTAAAGACACGCGTTTGAAACTGTGATACATTCTCATCAAGACCTCGTACTATATCCGGACTCCCTACGCTCGTCCGGATAAATAACTCATATCAGTCTTGATAAGAATGAGCCATAACCTCAAACTCGTGACGTCACTTCAAGCCGTCAAAATCCCTGCTTTTACGCATACATATCGAAAATAACTATTTTAGAACACCTGCTGTAGAAGTTGTCTTTTCAAGCGCTGTATGTCATCTCCGAAGTACATAATAATCGCATACTTGACTATGAGTTTCATAAACGCACATGTTCGGTTAAGGACCACATAACTGCCCGAATTCCGCCTTAACTATACTACTATAGAAATATAACCCTACGATTCACGCTGTCTTTTTTATTTTACTAGAGACTACTTAACCCTCTGAGGCTTCTGGGCGTTTCCCCCACTCTTCGTGAAACACTCCCTTCTACATTTACTGTACACGCTCCCTACTCCGGTGCCACGCGGCTCACTTAGTCCCATCTTGGCCTCAGAGGGTTAAACGCCATCTGATGCCGCGATAATCATTCATTTTTTATCGTTCATCATGTGAATGATACACTAAAAACAATGATCAGCCCTAATCCTTAATGTTATTTTTAAAATTATTATATTCCTCTCAAATTCAATTTCCAGAGCCGTAGTTGTAAAAAGTATTGTATGCTACACGTGGGATGAGAAACAAATATGACAGTCGTGATTATGAAATTCGCTGTAAGGTTTATGAGACATTCGTA